TGCTGCTGGAGTCCCAGGCACCTCCTCTTAAAGGCCCAAGCACGGACTTACTCCGACTTGCTCCCTTTGAGCTCCAGCATGGAGGGGAGGCAGCTTGAAAAGCACCAGAGACATACTGGGAAGAACTGAGCTGTTTGGCATCTGGATGAGGGCTGGGGAGGAAGCTTTCTCCTGGACAGATGTGCTGGCAGAGGCCATTGTTCTTTTGATGAGCCCTTCCTTCACAGGCCAGGCAAATAGGCTCCATATCTGGGACTCCAGCAACCTGGCTCACACAGTTTGCCCCACCCTGGTGATTCCCTGAGGTCCGCCCTACCCAACTTTTGGGCCCACCCAAGCTATTACCAGTTGCTTTACCATAGGAAAGGCCTGTCTTGGATCCTGCTTCAGATTTTCCTAAATTCTCTCAAACAAGCAGCATCTGGCCTCAGCAAGTCCATATCTCTCACTAAGTGGCCCCTGGCCCAGCACTAGGAGTGGCAAGCCTTGGTTCAGAGCTTGGCCTTGTCTGGGCACCTTCAAGCCCAGTACAAGAAGCAGCCATCAGCAGATCACTTTGTAGCTTATGCCGGGTGGCCCCAGGTAGAACATAGGCAGGGGCTGACCTTGCCTCAGAGCGAACACACCCAGTGAATAGTGTCAGACCACGTTGAAGCACTACCACCCAACCACCTCCACAAGTGACACACTCAAGAAATGGACTCAGTGGGTATCAGAGCCCTGATGAAGTAAGTTTTGTTCTGTGTGGTGGGCCCCTGCACAGTTGATTCTCCTAGGTAGTCAGAGGTCAGTGGTTAGTGGGCACAACCAGTCCTTGCAGCTGATGAGCCTGAGTAAAACCCTCCCACTGATGTACCAACAGCAATAAAGACTCAATTACAACAGAAGGGTGTAAAGTCCACATGATGGGTGCACCTCAAGGCCCCAACTGGGTGACCACGGAGGCTGTGCCACCAGAGTGGAACCCTATAGAACACCTACTACAACAGGCCACCCTAGGAAGCCTAAGAGACATAGAAACTCTACCTAATACATAGAAACAAACACAGGGAGGGAGCCAAAATGAGGAGAGAAAGAAACATGTCACAAATGAAAGAACAGAACAAAACTCCAGGAAAGAACTAAACAAAATGGAGATAAGCAAGCTAACAGATGCAGAGTGCAAAACACTGCGTATAAGGACGCTCAATGAACTTAGTGAGAATTTCAAGGAACTTCGTGAGAACATCAAGGAACTTAGTGAGGACTTCAAGAGCATAATAAAGGATCAGTCAGAAATGAAGGATGCGCTAACTGAAACAAAGAATAATTTACAGGGAATCAATAATAGAGTAGGTGAAATCAAGATGCAAACCATTGATTTGGAATATAAGGAAGCAAAAAAAGAACCAATCAGAACAGCAAAAAGGAAAAAGAATAAAAAAATATGAGGATAGTATAAGGAGCCTATGGGACAACTTCAAGCGTACCAACATTCACATCATGGAAGTGCCAGAAGGAGAAGAGAGAGCAAGAAATTGAAAACCTATTTGAAAAAATAATGACAGAAAACTTCCCTACCTTGATGAAGGAAACAGACATACGAGTCCAGGAAGCACAGAGAGTCCCAAATAAGATGGACCCAAAGAGGGCCACACCAAGACACATCATCATCAAAATGCCAAAGGTTAAAGACAAAGAGAGAATCTTTTTTTTTTTTCTTTTTTTTTTTATCCTCACCCGAGGACATTTTTCAATTTTTTGTTCAGGTAGTGTGGGAGGGAGAGAGAGGAAGAGAGAGAGAGAGAGAAACATCGATGTGAAAGGAACACATCGAGTGGCTGCCACCCGCACGACCGACCAGGGCCGGGGACAAATTGCAGCCGAGGTACATGCCCTTAGCGGGAACCGAACCTGGGTCTCTCCAGACCGCAGGCCGACGCTCTAACCGCTGAGCCAAACCGGCCAGGGCCAAAGAGAGAATCTTAAAAGCAACAAGACAAAAGCAGTTAGTTACCTACAACAGAGCTCCCATAAGTTTGTCAGCTGATTTCTCAAAAGAAACTTTTCAGGCCAGAAGGGAGTGGCAAGAAATATTTAAAGTGATGAAAAGCAAGGACCTACAACCAAGATTACCCTGTCCTGCAAAGCTATCATTTAGAATTGATGGCCATATAAAAAGTTTCCCAGACAAGAAAAAGCTAAAGGAGTTCATCACCACCAAACCAGTATTATATAAAATGTTAAGGAGTCAGTCTTCTTGAAGAATAAGAAGATTAAAAAAAAACAAAAAAACAAAAAAACAACAACAATAAAATGGCAATAAATACATAATCTATCGACAATTGAATCTACAAACAAAATGAGCAAGCAGAATAGAAACAGACTCATAGATACACAGTTTTTTGTTGGTTGCCAGATGGGAGGGGGGTTGGAGGGATAGATGAAAAAGATGAAGGGATCAAGAAGTACAAATTGGTTGTTAGACTGATGAACCTCAAAGGGAAGGGGGGAGGTGGGGTGGGAAGAGAGAAACCAAAAAACTTCTATGCATATATGTATAACCAGTTGACACATACAATAGTGTGGAGAAAGAAAGAGAGGTGTGGGAGGGGGGGAAGTGGGGGCCAAGGGAGGAAAGGGAAGGACATATGTAATACATTGAACAATAAAGATAAGTTTCAAAGAATATAAATAAATAAATAATAAAACAAGAGAACCCTTCTCTACACTCCAGGCAGAAAAAATGCTATAAGAATAATTAACATGTATTTCACAGATTTATCAGGTTGCAAACAACAGCTCATTTCAGTTGGACTGAGCCTGTGGTTGGAACCTCATATTCGCTGATCTGTAATTTTGTTTCGAGAGTGACAGAGAGAGGAAGAAAAGGGACTTTTCATTTCCTCTCAATCAGCTCTGTTGTATAATTACGATCTCTGGCTGGAAAATAAATGCTTGTTAGTAGTGGTGGCTCGAGATTTTGTGAATATGAGGGAATTCATTGACATGTTGGGATGGAGAGGGCAAATCTTCAAAGGTCTGCTGGGACATTTCCACCAGTATATGTGTGGTGGGCTCATGATTCTGTGAAAAGAACAGTGGCCCTGAAGACCAAGCCCTTGACTCTTTCTTTTTTTTTTTTTTTTTGGTACGTGCCCCTAGCAGGAACCGAACCCAGGACTCTCTGGTCTGCAGGCTGATGCTCCAACCACTGAGCCAAAAAAGCCAGGGCCCTTGACTTTCTTAGTAAAATAACCCCCACTGGATAACCTACTAACTTTGCTACATGATGTTTTGCTGGGGATAAACAAAATTATGAATTTTCAAATGATTTGAAAAGTGAAGACGCTATACAAATGTGAGGTGTTGTTGGACATGTCACTGAAACAGGGTGGTGTAATGGGAAAGTGCCAGGTATCAACAGACAAGAAATAGGCCTGATTGTCTCAGAAATGTAATGAAATGAATTAAATGATCCTCTTACAGCAGCACTTATGTTGGCCATCTTCCCACGATCTGATTAGTTCCTCTTTTTCCAGATAATGAAAACCGATTTTTTAGCACCAGAGACAATGTGATTTGTTAACTGATGCTCCTCCAGCTGCAGTGTATCCTTCTCATGGTAAAATATAGACTGCGGGTCAGGAGTAAGTCTGGGACCAGATGCGGAATTTCCTCTTCCTCCCTGCTGCTTGTATGTGTAGGTCATCGCTATATAAGGACTGGCTGAAGTGCTGTGGAATGAGAATACAGTGGTATAGAAATGGGTTCCCAGCGTGCCCCTGGAAGAGGAATGTTTGTGTGGTTGGTAAGTCATGGGAGAGTCCTTCAGGAGTGTATCTCAGGGGTGCGAAAGCGGCTGTGTTTGCAAGGCCCTCCTGGGTGTGTTATAAGATGATTTCAAAGGCAGAATGACCCTGCACGTGCAGATGCCAGTGGAGAGAAAAGAGCAGGATTTGAATCAGTCTTGGGATCAACAGTGAAGTTTGCAGTTGTTTGTTCCGCTCCTGAAAGACTGGGGAAAGGCCCCCGGGTGGGTTATTGGGAAGAATTGGACAGCGGTGATCGTATCTCTTTCTCTCTCAACCCCTCGGGCCTTTAGCAGCCGAAAGGGGGCTGTTTGGATCGGAGCCCCGGGTAGAAGGAAGAGGCGTCAGCCAACTTCCTCCGCCGCGGCTGCGCGGGACGCGAGCCGGGGATGGGGGTGGGGGCGGGGTGGGGTGGGGGTGGGGTGCCCGGGTCTGCTCATCCGGCCCCCAGGGCCGGGCAGGGGCGGAGCCGGGCGGTGCCCGCCCTCTGCCGGCCCCTTTTTCTGGCCGCTCCCCAGTGCAGCGCGGGCCGGGGTCGCCGCCGCCTGCGGGAAGCTGGTAGCCGGGAACCAAGTGGACCCAGCCGCCGCCCCTGACAGCGAGTCCCGTCGCGCACGGACCCAGCCGCTGGCCCTGACAGTGAGTCCCGTCGCGGGGAGCGTGGAGTGGGTCGGGCCGGAGATCAGGACCGCGTTCTTGGGGAGCCCCAGGGCGCGAGCACGCGGAGTGGGGATGTCAGGATTGCGACATAGGGGAGCCCCAGAACCCGAGCCCAGAGGGGCATTCGAAATTGCGAGGTTGAGAAACTCGAGCCCAGGGGCGGAGTGTCAGTGCCTCTACTTTGTTGGGGACTCCCAGAACCCCCACCCAGACAGCGAGAGAGCGGGTCAGAATCGCAACAGGGGGGAGTCTGTTTCGGAGCCCGAACCTGGAGGGCGGAGGGGTCAGGACGGCGACTTAGGGTATCTCAGGTTCGGGCACCCGGAGGGTGGAACCGGGGGTGACCTGTCGGCGCCCTCTGCTGGGCGGAGAGGAGAACCCGGCAGGGCAGTGCGGAGGAGAGGAAACCCGAAGCGGGAGGGGCTGGAGGGGCGGGAGGGGGAGACCCAGGGAAGGGATCCCCAGAAAGGATAGGGTGGGGCGGGGCTTGTGGCTTCTCCCGGGGAGAATGGAAGGGGCTTCTCTGAGACCGTGGGCGCGGGACGCGGCGTTGTGCGGGGAGCCTGGGTGCGGCTGATTACCGTATGGAGAATAGAGGGTCAGAGGGATGGAACGCCGCGGTGGGGGATCCGAGGTGGCTGGGTGCGTGGTGGGGCAGAGACCCGGGACCAGCTCGACCAAGGGAACACAGACAGCCCCCTCGGTGGAATGGGTCATGACCTCAAGAGGGCAGGGGCTCAAGAGAGCTAGACCCGGCAATTGCAGACGGGGCAGGCGGGGACTCTGCACCCAGCATGCTCGGGAGTGTTGGCTACTTCGGCCGGCCCGAGAGACTAGAGAGCGGACCACCTCGCTGACCTCGTGCAGGGACCTGAAGGCAGCTGTGGTCCCTCGGCCACCAACTGACAAGGGCGAGACCCAGAGGGGCTCTTTGTTGCACCCTCTATTGTTGAACCTGGTTAGAAGTGATTTTGGTCAGGGACCGCATAAGAAGAGCCTGGGTTTAGAAGAGTAGTTAAGGAGTGATACTTCAGATGTACAGGTAAGATCTATCTGTGTGTGTGTGTGTGTGTGTGTGTGTGTGCGCGCGCGCCGTAGGCATAATTCATAATAATGGCTGTGTTATTTTTTGATCCACATGTGCTACTTGCTCCCCACGCTCCCATACCGTGTGAGAGACTGTTCAACGGGCACACACACACCGCCCACAACAAATACACTGCATTCCTCAGCCAAGTAAACAGAAGTATTGTACAGTTTTTGGATTGTTTGTGCCGAGGAGGGCTTCCTTACTGAAGTTAATAAGAAGTTATCTACTTGGAAGGTGGACTGCCTTTGCCCTCTTAAGATGTCCACAGTTTGTAACCAACCCTGAGATGTCCAGGTCACCGGGAGGGAAGCCAGGCTGCTTAGGACCTCACTGGGTGGCTATCTAAGTGTGCATCTAAAGGATAAACAAATGACCAGTACAGTGTCTGTTTGTTTTCTGTTGTTTGTCTTCGGTACCAGCTCCCTTTCTTTATAATACTTAGTTTATTTGGTATAACAGCTAATTCAGGAAGTCCTAGGGCCCGGGATTCTACTATGTGGATTCTGTTGCAAGGTTCCTAGGTTTGGGGGGTCAGGGGAGAGAGATGCCCCCAATTCCTTCTGTCCTGGATATAGATCCGCCTTCTGACACACACTGAGATTTGAGTTTCTTGGGAGGATCCAGGACTAGGTTGGCAACTAGCATTTGTTGGGCCCGGTTTTTTTTTTTTTCTTCATAAGAAGGAAATCTTTTCAATAATTATGCAGGTTAGCGGGAAAGTGATTTATGCTTTTGACAAGTATCATTTCAGGACAAGCTTTTTTTTTTTTTTTTTCATTAAAGGGGTGGTCAGAAACTTGCTCAAAATCTGCATTATCATTATTGGGGCAGAATATTTATTCACTTGGACATAAAGCTGGCTGATTCTTCCAATTCTTTATCCAAATGTTAAAAGAAATGTGTCAGTACTTATATATTCAAGTGAGTATTTCTCCCTTTCAAAAGCCTCATCTTGGCAACCTGTGTACTAATTCTGGGATGCTGTCACTGCTGAGAATAATCTGGGAGCTGGTTCTTTGGCACTGCCTTCAGACTTTGCAACACATTTAACTGAATTGCCCCCTGATGCCAAACCTTCCTCAGTTGGGAAAGAGCCAAACACCCTGTGGGGCCAACTGCGGCTTGTGAGTTGGGGAGTCTTGTGAGTTGGGGAGTCTTGTGAGTTGGGGAGTCGAGGTTGAAATAGGAAGCATGCCCATTAATGTAATGAGAGCCCTCTTGAAGGACAGGCAGTTCCAAGATGGACATCCAGTAAAGGCTTGTAGATGTGTTTACGATTGAAAGTAATCAAAGTGCAGCCTTCCTTAGGGTGTTTATGCTCTGGTATGTGTGCAAAAAAAAAACCCCTGGGCCTATCGCTTTATTGTTGTACTTTAGTGGCCTTTTGAGCTAGAGAAAATAAGCCTTTCTTTTCCCTTGCAGGTACTCTTTACCAGGTCCTTTTCATCACTGTGCAATTTTTTTTTTTTTTTCAGAAAACAAACAAACTAAAGATTTGTTTTCTCACTAAAAGAAGGTGCCCACAAAGTCACTTAACCCATGTGTGTAATTGATGCCTGGTAGTTGAGCTTTTATGTGAAAGGATCTTTATAGAAACAAGGGGAAGAGAATGGTTTCTGAAAATCCATTTCAGTCTTGGGATTCCATAGTACACAGGGTGAAAAACTGACTTACCATCTCCTTTTTCTTCCATTATTTTTCTAAATTCCCAATTTTTTTTTCAGGTTCTATAATCTAAAGTTTTATAGCCATCACTTGAATCTTGATCTGGCTATGATCTTGGGCAAGTTATTACATCTCTTTTGGCTTCAGTTTTCTAACCTTAAAAAGAGGATGCTAATGAGTATGTACCTCATGGCGCTGGAATGAAGATTTAGTAAGATTTACACTGTAGAACACTGAGTTGAGGGCCTGGCCCATCAGTGCTCCATAGAGTCTAGCTATTTTTGTTATTAATGTTGCTTATTGATAGTTATATTAAAATTTCTTCGAAGCCATGCACAGAAGCCATGCACGTGTTTATCATTTCCGAGTAGCTGGTAACACTGTTCCCTTCAGCTAGACTTTGCAAATGGTTATGTGAGTGAGAACATTCTGTTTTTACTCTCCTAAACGCCTAGGGTTTTTTAAAGAGCAACCTTAAAAGCAATTAACTGTAGCTAGCTACTTTAATTCAGATGTTCTTGAAAACAAACATTCCTGTTTTGATTGTGTAGTAGGTATAATAGTTTAGTGAAAATCTGAAAGAGAAAAGTATAAAAGCTTCTCCTAGAATTTTTTCCCTTGATCCAATAAAATATTACTCCAATGAAATAACTACAGCTCTCTTGGCCTGTATTGAAAGGGATGATCTGATGAGTGTTTGTTTCAGTTAAACTTGAGTTTTGCTCTGCTTTGTATTTCAATGACAGGGAACAATAACCATTCATTTTTTCATAATATGAATTTTATTAAATATATATGTAAATTAGGAAGATACAAGCTGTGGGAATATAATCTTAATTTGGTTTTCATCAAATGGTTAAGGGTTACTATGAAGTAGATGTTCCAGGAAGTGTTCAACATTTAGTGAGAGCTCTCTGTGTTTTAAGCAGGTATGTGCAGGAGATAGAGAGATGTGTAAGAAACAGACTTTGGCCCTGGCCGATTTGGCTCAGCGGTTAGAGCGTTGGCCTGTGGTCCAGAGACCCGGGTTCGGTTCCTGCTAAGGGCATGTACCTCGGTTGCAGTTTTTCCCCCCTGGCAGCCACTCGATGTGTCCCTTTCACGTTGATGTTTCTCTCTCTCTCTTCCTCTCTCTCCCTCTCACTCTATCTGAACAGAAAAATGGAACATAAAAAAAAACAGACTTTGTCCTCCAGAAACTCACATTATGTGCTCTTCTAGGACTAAGCATTAGCACAAGATTTTTCTCATAATGGCTTGTGAGCCAAAGATTAAATGGATTCCACTCTTGTTATTTTCTCTCAATTTCTTGGAGAAGGCTAAATATTTTAGATCTCTTAATAGTGTTCATAATTTTGAAGTGGATTAACTCTTTCAGGATTAAACCCTGCCATGCACTCAAATGCTCTGAAAGGAGATAATGGCTATAAAAGAACTGTAAAATGATATCTAAGTATAAGATAGGTTGATATTATTGTTGTACTTATAAAGTACCAGGAAACAGTACAGCACAGTGGGTTAGGCTGTAACAGTGGTTTTTAATGTGGAGGAGGGGTGATTATGCCCCTCATTACCAGAGGACATTTGGCAAAGTCTGGAGACACTTTTGATTGTCACAACTGGAGGGGGAGGGATGTTGCTGACATCTGATGGGTAGAGGCTACAGATTCTGCTAAGAATCTTCTAATGCACAAGACAACTCTTCACAATGAAGAGTTAGTTATCCAGTCCCAAATGTCAGTTGTGCTGAGAGACCCTAGACTGGAGCATGCCATCCAGAGTGGGGGATCAACCGACATTAGCATCCTAGCACCACCAGTTATTACATGCACAACCTTGGGTGAATGCCTTACCCCTGAGAATCTATACAATGCATGTCTGAGGAGATACTGTGGAATTAAATGTGATACTCAGCACACAGAAGGCACCCAGTAAGTGGTAACTCTCAATATTATTATGTTTGGTTAGTAAATCCAGGGACTGTATGTCTCAAACAGACACGGCTTTGTTTTTTAACTGTCTACAGAACCAACACAGGTTTCTTGATCCCATCTGTGTGTCCAACCAAAAGGCAGGGACAAAGACTAACGGCCTCCAGCATTTGTGGCACTTTCAGCATTCTGGCCCAGGTTCTGCCCTGGTTCTGCTAGGCAGCTAAGTGTAGGCTGCAGATCACTCCATTCAACCAGGTGAACAGGTCAGTTCCACGCACCTCTCTTCTATAGAGCAAAGATGAACTGAGGATGGAGGAGCTTTCTGCTTCAACTGGGCTACACCTAGAAGGAGGTTGCTAGGCCATGAAGCTCCCTATGACTGAACTTGCCTCCAAGTTCAACGGAAACCTCCGTCTATCCATGGTCAGAGCAGGCAAGGAGGTCTGGCAGTTTCCCTTTGCTTTTCCTTAGCCCCTCCTACTCAAGCAAAAAGTTCTGTAGGAGTCCCGTCACTTTTAGCAAAATCCTCCAAATCCATTCCAGATCTTGCTCTGCATGGAATTACCCAGACATCTGGGAGGAGAAAGGAGGCCTCAAATAAAGCCCAGGCTCCACTTTAATCTTCATTCCTTTCTCTGTTTTCCCTAGCACACTGAATGAAGCCCCATGAGTAATCCACTCACAGTTACCAGTAGAGCTTCAGAAGGGTGGGGGTGGGGCGACATCCCTGGTGCAGAGAGTGTTAGCAGACAGCGATGTAAAGAATTGACCCAGCGGGTGTTTTAACTGTGAGCTCCATAGAAACCATTAGTTTTGTGGTCCTCAGTCCTGGCTGTACAATAGAGTCACCTGGGGCTGCGTAAGAATTGCCCAGTCACCACCTCATACCACTGATTCAGAGTCTCGGTGGATAGGGCCAGGACATCAGATGTTTAAAATGCTTCTCAGATGATTCTGATGCCCAGTTAGAGTTGAGGGTCAGGACCTTGCCTTATGAAATGAATGATCTGCATTAATGCGCCCGCACACACACACACACACCACACACACACAGAAAAAAATTAAAGAGACCCTAATGAAAAATATCAAAATAATAGTATTATTTGGTTAAGCTTTTTTTTTTTCCTTAATCCTCATCCGAGGACTTTTTTTTTTTTTGCATTTATCTTCAGACAGAGCGGGAGGGAGAAAGGGGGGAAGAGAGAGAGAGAAACATTGATGCGAGAGAGACACATTGACTGGCTGTCAGCCCACACGACCCCAACTGGGGCTGGGGACAAACTGCAATCGGGGTATGTGCCCCGAGCGGGAACTGAACCCTGGACTCTCTGGTCTGCAGGCCAACACTCTAAC